ATCGCTTTCTTATATCGAAGGGTGGAAACTGTGTTCAAGACTGTAGTTGTATCATGATCCACATTTATTGTCAAGGAAATCAGTTTCAGTGGCGGATGACGCTAAGTAGAATGCCAAGACGAATGCAAGGCATACGTATGGAAACAGAGGATTTTCGGGTATTAGGCATACCCTACCTTCAACAATTTAGCCTCCAAATGAGTGGTTTTACAGTGGTCTTGCTCTGCCGTAGACCGGGAAATAAGATTTCTCTTGAGAACAGATACGAACCCTCTTTCCATCATCTATCGTTTACCATCTCTCTCCCCTTGAGGATTTCATGCGAGGAGTCCGTTCTTAACCAATGGTGCTCTAAGCGCTGAGGGAGGAAGGGCGCAGCTCGGCTTGGGGGGCATTCTGCTGAAACCAGTCACTCACTGCCGATGCCTTCTGTGGAGACCCGTAAGCTCTTGTCGTTCATACCTGACAAGAGTCTGTAGGACTATCAAGCTGTGACGTGTAATCTGACAGCAATTAGTGAAAGGAATAGCTAAAGTAAAAATGCCCCTTCCTAAGCCGAACAACGCCCAAAGAAGGTTTACAAGTATGGCGTCTCTGATATGACAGCAGGCATGAAACTAGGTGCTCGATCACGGATCGCGAGCTCCATGTGAATCATCTTCTGGGTGCCTATTCGGGACCATCAGAAACATCATGTAATCTAAAATTACTTATAAAAAATTTCAGTTGCCTCTATAATCCGGAACTCCTAGCACACAAGTTTTTAATCAAAATGAATCTTTATTAACTGAATGAAGACATCAATGTACAGGTAGGTGGATGAGGTAGCCGCGATCAGTTGACGGTCACGAGATTATTCTGAAACCGGGAGTAATGTATAAGATAGCTATTGATCGATAGCCCGAAAAAAATTAATTTCAACTCACTCCTTAGCACACATCCGCCGGCCATAGGGGTGTAAGCTGGAGCGCACTGGCAAACACCGGCAGTGCAGAGCGCACCAGGTGCACAGGGGCTGGCCGGGGTGTAGCACGGTGTTCCAAGGGCAACCTGAATGATCAAACATAGAGCTGAGACACTAGGAGCAGATCTGGGAAATAGGAACTTACTGGTACAGCCGGCACTGCAACTGGAGGAGGAGGAGGAGGCGCGACACTGTAGACGGTACGAGTCACACATACAGTACCCTCTTGCACGAGTTCCGGTGGGCAGAGACAGACGCCCAGCGAGCAGACCGAACCGCCAGTGCATTCGACTCCGGGCTCACAGGGAGAACCGGGAGAGCCTGAACAGGTGAACCTAGACTGACGAGATCGATGATTCTCAAAAGTGTGGGAGATAATCATTTCAATGAAAACTGATGAGATCATAGCCTACCTGTGGGATCAGGCGGCCAGTGACTACGGGAGCTGGCGCTACTGGAACTGGTGCCACCATGGGTGGGGAACAACCAACAACGGGGTTGTAGACAACGGTCGGTTGAGCGCACTGACAAGCTCCTGCATAACACCTGAAAGCAAATTTACTCTTCTCAACCATCAACGCAGCTATTTACACCTTTATTTCTATATATAATTGGTAAAAATTAGCTGAATAGGTAAAAACTGAAGAGGAAGGAAACCACTCACGCTGCACCTCCTACACATGCAGGGGTACAGGCCGGGCCAGCTGGTGGCATCACTGAAATAACAGTTAGAAAGAAACTCAATTATAAGTAACATGGGGCGCAGTTCGGCGACGTGGGGGGGGCATTTTGCACTTTCATTGCTTCACTAGTTCGGTTTACAAGTCTCACTCTGGTGAAACCTGTGAACTCTTGTGAAGCTGGAGCAAGCTCGTCGAGCCACCATGGTGAAACCTGTCAACTCTTGTAAGCTCACGGAATAACTTTCTAGATGGGTTGACACATCGATGAAATGTAGCAAAAGTGCAGAATACCCCTCCCCCTGTCGCCGAACTGCCCCGTAATATTGAAGATGAAACTGCCCCAGAACCCCTCCCCCCATAGGCCCACATGGACAGCATGGAGATGAAATGATTCTATAGATGGTGTACTTACCGTACTGCGCTGTGGCGAGGGCAAGCAGGGAGGAGGCGATGATAAGCGACATAGCGTACGTATGCGGTCCACTTCCGCGACCGGACCACTTTTATATGAGGCGCGGCGCCGTAGGCGAACTCACCGCCACACCTCTTTGGTGAGCCGTTGCGACGTCATCGTTAAGAACGCATGTAAACAATATTTGAAACAGCATGAGATTGGTCGCGTTGTCGCGCGCGGCGACTGGATACCGCTTTTGCTGTATCCCCAGTTTACGTCGTATTCCAGTGAGGGGTAGTAATTGGTTGCCAGGGGGGAGGGGGTGAGGGGGAGGCGTATTTCCCTCTGGGGAATGCTTTCGATTGTTCACTTTTTTCATTTTTCCCGTTTCATGTGCGCTATATACCTCCACTCCAGCGGAAGGACTCCGGTTGAGAGTGGTGAACTTCCGAAATAAAAAAATCTCTTGGAATCGTAAGCTGGAAATCGTAAGGAGCTGAAATATCTAGGAAGGGCGTATGGGGTAAGGATCAGTGATCGTATCTTCGAAGGTATTTCTTCCCAGGTACGATCGCTAGGGGAGAGGGGAAGTCGTATTTTGCAGAAATTTTTTCCAATGGCAGGAAGTGCCTTGTGTACCCTAGAGGTCCTGTTTCGAGTGGACATAGCAAAAGTGAGGCGATCGTGGAGTAGAGACAAATAGCGCTGCTTACCATGCCCATGCTCCGGGGCCAGATCTCATTAAAGGCTCCCATTCGGGCTGACTGAAGCTTGAATCCTTCCGAAGCCGGTAAATTGATGTAATACTTGTCAAGGAAAGAAAAACACTGACGTGAAGCTTGGCTGGTTCCCGCAAGTCGTTGTAGATGCTAGACGCGATACCTGGCTCTGCGATTTTGAATAATTTTCTTGCAGAATGGTAGAATGCTGGTCATCATGTTGTTCTAGAGGTTCCACCCTATTTGCTCACTGCTTGTACAAGTTCGGCTTGACGGGGGCATTTCATTGGTTCTCATCGACCATTTCCGATGCCTCTTGTTCAGACCTGTAAATTCTTGTGAAGTTCTGCAAAAGCACGAACTTCATCGGTATCTTTTGAGACTCTACAGGTGTTACCAAGGTGAGGCGTGTAAGCTAACGGCAACTAGAAGAAGAGATTAGCTAACGAAAAAGGTGCACCCCCTGAGCCAAAAGCGCCCGACTTCTTTATCACTGGTGTCAGATGCCTTATTCAGTTAGATCGGTATTTAGTCGGGTATGCTTCACAAGTTAATGTCTACAAGAATGGTCTAATGCTTCAAGAATCGTTACCCCTCTGAACTATGTTTTGTTAGTGTTGTGATTGTTGTCGCTTGGACGTTGCATGTTCGACAAGGTTGCCGAACGAGAAGTGTAAACATTCCAATGACCGGCGAAACAACAGCCATGCAAACACGGCCGCGTTCCAATCTTTGGCGGCACTCACAACAGGTGCCGGACATGATAAGCGAAATTCGCCTTCCGGTCCAAAACATTCGGACGGCCTTACATTTTTTGGGCTCAAACTTTGAAGATCCTGGATGTGTCTGAACTTTGCTCTCACCAAACTACCATTCGTGTACCCCGAATTCGTATCCGATTTTTTGGGCGATAGTATTTGTATTCGTTTATCTGTGAAAACTTAGCTGTTACATAGTCATATTGGCTTTCTAAAGAGCAGTTCGGCGAAGGGGGGGGGGGGGCATTTTGCACTTTCACTGCTTCACTACTTCCGGTTTACAAGTCTCACTCTGGTGAAACTTGTGAACTCTTGTGAAGCTGGAGCAAGCTCGTCTAGCCACCATGGTAAAACGTGTCAACTCAAGAAAAGGCTATCTAGAAGACACATCGATGGAAGCAAAATGCCCCCCCCCCGCCCCTGTCGACTAAATGCACCCAAATATATTGCACACAAACAATAAAAAC